CACGTAAGGTTGTTGATCAGTAGAAGTGTGTATGATGCAGTAATAGCATGTACAGTTGTTGATCAGTAGAAGTGTGTATGATGCAGTAATAGCACGTAAGGTTGTTGATCAGTAGAAGTGTGTATGATGCAGTAATAGCACGTAAGGTTGTTGATCAGTAGAAGTGTGTATGATGCAGTAATAGCACGTAAGGTTGTTCATCAGTAAAAGTGTACGATGCAGTGAAATACTGCATTATATAATGAAACATTTGTTAAAAGTGGAGAATGGCGTTAGATAGGAATGTTGATCTTGCTGGCTTGACAAGATGGTCAATGGAAGCTCCTCGTCCACCACAACTATCTTGATTTTTATCTTTTAAATTATTTATTTGATGTTTTTATGATTCCATGTACATCATAAGTGGGTACTGTTTAGATTAGCAAGCAAACCTGATGACCTGCTCCAAACAAGTGTCTATTGATGAACCTATAAATTCTATCTTAAAATTAGGTCTAGAAAATTGTGAAACAATGGATGAGAAAACCAGCTAAAATTTCAGTTACTAAACAGTTTTTAAATTACAAATATTTCAACATCAACTGGCATCTTCACCAATAGTATGATGCATATGTCAGCTATAACTGAATCAAGCTCAGTTCGTATTTGACCAAGTTTAACTTAGTTTCATACTCATAGGTGTGTCTGTCCTATATTAAAACTGTCAGTTGTGTTTTCCAGTTTCTCGTGGTTTTAAACAGTTACTCATAAATGGTTTTATAGCCAAAGAGTATTTTTTTTTATTTTTTTTTTATAAAGTTTCATTTCTGTTGGAAAACGTAAGAACGTTTACACCAACTTGATTTCTTTATGCCTAAAATTACATTATTCTTTATACTTGAGGCCTTGTATAACTGAAAATCTCTTTCTCTTAAATGTGAGTGTTTTGTGAAGAACAATGGGGCCAATTCCATGAATGCAGACAAAATTTTGCCTGAAAATATTTACTTGTAATCTAAACTTGGATTAGTGAACTCTGTACTTCCTATGCTTTTTGTTAAGAAACCAAAGCTTCTAGAGCTATGTTGTCATGCTTAGAACTATTAATACAAAAAACACTAGGAAATTTCCTTCATACATATTTAATAGACTTGTAAAAGAACATTACACTCCTGATTATGATGATTTTGTTTGTAAAATATATGAAGTACTTACAGTACTGTTGTAACTTAGTGTGCAAACAAAATATCTGTATATATATAAAAACCAGTGTTAAGTACAATAACCAAATAAAATCTGACTAGCATATTCACAACTACAAAATCACAATTAATGTATAATAACAGGTCCCATAAGCATCCAGTTCTATTTACTTTTAAACCTTATATGTTTAGCATAGTGTAAGTACTATTACTCAGTGATATTTTTATCACTAGTCTCTAACCCAAAATCTTACAAAATATTTGACAATACAAAGTACAGCAAGTGCTCTTTGTAAAGAGTGAAAGTATAAACATACAGCTAAGTCTAGCTTAGTATGATCAAGGTTACTATAAATTCCAATCTCCATATTAGGATCAAGTTCCCTCAAAATACAAGATAAATCAAACTCCAAAGCCTAAAGTGATATACAACATTTTTGATATTCTACAAGTACAAGACAAAAAAAAAAATCCTGGGCTGGTTGTGCTCATTCCCAAGATCAAACTGCATATTGTTATTACTCGTACATTAATAAAGTATTTATATTCAAGCCCCTATCTGTGACTGAATTACAGGTTAAAACCATCTGTGATATGCATCAAATGCATTGAAAGAACAATATTTTAAACAAATAACTAAACTGCTAATCATGCATCCCCTCTTTACCAAAACGAAGCATTTAAGATTCCTTACACACCAGGAGATAAAATCTAACCCCTTTATAATTCCAAATGTAACATATCTGTGTGCCACCAAAAACATCACCGATAAAAGCAGTAGCACCATCAACTAATAAGAAGCTGTATTTGTGAAATACATTATCTACGATACATATATATGGGTATATACTTTTTCTAACAGCATGTGACTGGCCTTGACTGCTAAGTGTTCATCCACACACTCCTCTCATAATTCTTAGTCTTCATAAATAACAGCACCACCACCTGGTTTAGTTGGGAAGATAGCAGTATCCAATAGTTCTTGAAGTCTGAAATGTTTGCTGTAATAATTTTTTTTCAGATCAACCAAAAAGTTGTCCACCTTTTCAAAAGGTACAAGAGAAACTGTACAACCTCCCCATCTGAAAAAAAGGAGAGGAAATCAAATATGGGAACCTTTTCAAATTAGACACTGGCACATACTGCATTGTCAGAAAGCATTGAGTGAGTGTGCGTGTGTGTGTGTGTGTGTGTGTGTGTATATATATGGTATTTTCAGGTTCATCTGATTTCCTTTAAAGAGACAAGACAGATCCACAGAATAACAGGAGACTCAACCAAGATTCTTATTATGAGATTATGTCAAATTCTCTGAGCAATTGAGTTTGTGAGAAAGAAATATAGAATATAATTTATTTTTTAATCTTTATTCAAGACACAAACACATTGTATGAACGTACAGGGCATGTTGGACATTTGCTAATACTGAAGAGCTAGATCTAAAGTTATAATTTTTCCTACACTGAAAATATATTTCCAATAGATGCTTACCTATTCTCACCTAATAAAACATAAAAGTAAATGTTTGACCAATCCTGACTGAGGTTGTCTATCATCAAGTCAAAGGATGTGGAACCAGGGACCAAAAGAGGAGTAGCTTGGAATTGATGTGGATGGCAAATGCATCCAGAAGAAGAATACCCCATGTTGGGTGCAGAACCACCAAAACACCTGAGGATCTACAGACCACTCCATTGGAAGAATCGTGTCAGGCCAAGACAATCAATCTGCAATGAGATTCAGAGCATCTGGGACATGACACTAGTGGGCATTTGTATGATGCAAATGAGTGAAGAATAAAAGCTCTAATGTTCAAAAACAAAGCAAATGTGAATGGACGTCTCCTTGTCAATTAATGTAAGAGACAACAATCAAATAAATCAGGACCAACTTGCCTTGTACTAAATGTAGGACACGATCCTAAGCTTCACGAATGGTAAGAAGCTCCAGAATATTGATGTGCAGAGCTGACTTGACCATAGACAAAAGACCCATGACTTCCTGCAAATTTACAATCCCTTACCAACAGATAAGCATCTATAAAAAGATGCAACTCGGGATGAGAAATCAGAAGAAGAATGCTCACCAGAATGTTTTCCTTGTTGAGCCAATAGGCTAAATCAACTTATATTGAGAGAGGGAATAGGATAACCGAGTCCAGGGGATCCCATGCAAGATTTAATTGATTGTACAACACCCACTGAAGGGCATGCAATGTGAGCACAACTCAAGAGAATAAAAGCTTCCATGGAAGCCCAAGTCCCCAAAAGAGAAAGAATCCTGCATGCAGCAAGAGAAGGATAGGATTGAACTTTGAGAACTAATAGCTTTATCAATCTCAACTGAAGGCTGAGCCCAACTGAGATAGGAGTTGAAGAACACTTCCAAATGGATAAGGAATTGGGTTGAGATGAGAAAGGACTTCTCCAGCTTGACACCCCTCGAAAATGTAATTTTGTGGGCATGTGAGATGTTTGTTGGGATGGAGCTAAAAGTAGCCAGTAGTCCACATAATGGTAGAACCTCTGACTGTGAGAATGAATAAGTTGAATAAAGGCCCTGACCACCCAACTGAATACATAGGGTGGAAAAGTCTGACCAAACAGTAGAGTGCTGAATTGATAAACTCAAACTTTGTGGATTGTATTCTTCCTCAACAACATTGTCGGGTTGAAAAGGAAAAGAAATCGCTGGCTGAACATATGAATCTAGCTCCCTGCAATACGTTGAATCACAAATTCATACAAAGTTAAGTTCTCATATAATTCAGTAAAAAGAAATAAATTTAAAAAAATATTGTTGAAACAGTTGAATGCAAACACAGTAAAAGAAAACTGTTGAGAAAAAAATTGAAATGGCAAATAAGCACAGACATAAACAGTAGCTACATACATAAAAAAAATATCTAAACGTAGCTGTGCCAATCTAGAAAGTGAGGATTGAGTGGAAACAGTAGAGGGAGTTAGCTACACCAATATAGGTGGCTCAATACTATTGGTGGAAAGTAGTCACATGATATGTACATGTTCAACAGTGGCATAAAGTTGGTGGGGTATATAGACTGGTGAGCACTGAGCATGAAAGTTTTTATTAGGAATACTTAGAGGGCAAAAAGAAGATTGAGATAGCTTTGAGTGAGAGGTAAGACTGTATAAGAACAAAAAATATATCAGTCATTATGATAGAATATCCCAAAACTATTATAATTTATCCATCTTTCCAAGTAAGTAATAAATAGGTTAAACATATTCTGTTAGCACAATGAGTAGTACCACAATGACCAAGGAATGAAAAGCTTCTGACCATTCAATAATATAGGGAGGAAATCTGAGACAACAAACACAGATTCACATGGAGGAAAATCTGCTCCTTTTATTGGTTATAAGCATGTCCATAAGCCACGTAAAGTTGATTAGCAAAACAATCTCATAAGTCAGTTCTACTCAACCCAAGGCTCCTTTATGATACATGGTTGCCCTGACAAGAAACCTGGTTCTGAGTTCTGGTTCCCACAGTTCACTACCTTCATCATTTGGTGCCTGTCATCTTACCTACTGGTGAAATCCCCCCTGTTAGCAGAACATCATCCATCAAAAGTACCTCCAGTCTCTCCTGAACATTCTCAAGTGGCTTTGAATATAGCTGAGATTTGGTTAATCTGACTGATGGAGGCTTCAGAGTTCTGTACAGACTGTCCCATTCAGTCTTAAACCTGCCTGATGCCATATCACTGCTATGATCCTTAGTTACCTATGTCTCCAATTAAAATGGATCCCTAAAGCTAAAGCATGATTGGCATTCTGAGTGTAACAGTACTCAATGGCTGTCTTTCACAGACAGTTGTTTCCCTTCATAGACCATCTCTTCCTCTTGGTTGTTAGCCCTTATAATTGTGGAAAATGCCATTCTTCTATGAAAAAAAGTTCTATTTAAGCTTAATAACACAACAGTAGGAATATAAGGCAATACATGCATCAGTAGAAAATTTTACAATAAGATATCCAATTATCACACTACCAAAATTTTCACCTTCTTATCCATTTTGTGGTATTTTCAAGTAGAACTGATTTCCCTTAGAATGACAAAAACTGGTCTGCAGAACAACAGATTTGACCAAGATATGTATTAAAAAGTAATGCTAAATTCTCTAAATATCCAAGTTTGAGAGAAATCAAGAGAATGGACATGACTGTAAATAACATTTCTTAACACTAAAAATGTATTTCCAATAGGCACTTACCTCCTCTCACATATTAGCTTTACTCAATTTCGTGCTACCCTCTATAGGTGCAATTTTTCACTCGCCACAAGGCCTTTGGCAAGCAAAACATTCCACACAGAGGGCAGCACATAATCAGGTAAAGCTAATATGTGAGATGAGGTAAGGTATCACATCAGAAATGCAATTAACAATCTTTTTACAAAACACAAACACAGTGTATGCATTTAAGTGACACACTGGATGGTCATGTTTTGGAGAGCTAAATCCAAACTGTTTTCCCTCAAAAGATCTGTTTCAGACTCACTAAACCTCATATTAAATAGTACTATTCACTTGACTACTCATTCTCATTAGGAAAGAAGAGGTCATAGCCTCAAGATATCACTTAACCTACCAGTGGAGAAAACTGCTGTTTACTTTCATACACATGGTGCAGCTTGTCTATTTTGTCATTCAGTTTCAATTTTATTCTCATGGGAATCATATTGACAAGCTTAGCTGAATTTTTAAAGGCTCATATCTCATAGTCAGAAAGCCAGTTAAATTATAACACTTTAAGAACATTGCTTTGTGCTTATTATTATTCTATGTTCTAAGGTGCAGTATTTTATTAAATCAAAAATTATTTAGTATAGTAGTACCATTAGTATAAAAAAAGTAGACCCAGGTAAGTACTATGTTTTTCATGGGTATTTTTTATATATCATTCTAAAAGTAACTAAAATGTAAACATTAGAAACTTATGTTAAATAAGGTATGATAATGAAAAAAATATATATATATAGAAATTCCTTATGTGGTATGCTTGCAATTAGCTTGTGTATCACGTAATTAGATATAGTACTGTGAGTTGCATGTTCAAGTGATTTACAACTTGTGTGGCAAGATTATTAGTTAAACTCAGTTCAAAGGGTAATAAAACAATAAAATTAAGTATAAACAGATGTATACTGTTACAAGCTTTAAGCTTTTTAGGATAAACAACTATAGTTTCATGTTACAATTTGCAGTAATTCTAGAAATAAAAAAACGCTATTTATATTTTTTTTTTTATGGTTGTTACATCTTTGGTCAAATTGACTGAATGGGTAGAGATAAGGTAGAGAAAATAACAGATAAAATACAAAGATTTTAGAGATTTTGTAAATGAAATTTGAAAATTTTCAAATGAAGAAACATTTTTAATCTTAAAACTAATATCACTTTCCACTTAAAGCACTCAACACTCTGACTCAATATATTCACAAACAAAGTTTAAAGGAAAATACTTTATTAAAAAATTCTGATTTTTTTTTGTCTACAATATACTTGTAATGTTTACTAAAACCTTGACAAATTTCATGAAAAATGCACAAAACATATTAAAAGTTATAGTACGGAAACTCTGATGGTCATTTTGGGGGTCATGATGTTGGTGTAATGTATTGAGCCTATAATGAGAGGGTTAATGGCATTTATTCCTATCATCATTATTCAAAATGATTGGGCTATGATCACTACCACTTAGGTTGTTACCCAATTTACATGAAAATAAAGGAAGGAGAAAAGTGGCCTGAAAGAGAGATTGGTTGCAATAAACTTAGTCAGGGCCAACACGGGATTTTGTTTAACTCAGAGCAAAAACTCTGACAACTTCACTAAATAAGCATGGTAATTGTAGCAGTTCAGTGGTATAACAGTTTTTTGTAGTGCATGTACAGCTTTATATGGAAGTCTACTGTAAAGTTATTTTTTGAGTAAATAATACTTACCCAGCACCAGTTAGTCTTGAACCCAATGCCCCTGCTTTCAAACATAGCTGCACCAGTTCATCAAGATCTGGATGACTGCATTCATAGAGATCTCTGCAACTCGCATGGCTCTCTGTCATCAGTTGACCCAACATAAGAAGAGAAGTCTCAGATTTCTTCTCACATATCTCTTTAAATCTCCACACGCGACTTGCTTCCTGGTAAACATGTAGGGCTCGCTGATACAACTGAACATAAAGAAAGCAAGAATAGTTTTTATTACCAAAATATCACTACAAATATACATATACATGTATGTGACATTATTCATACTTAAAATCTTATCAGTTACATTCTAAAAATGGCAAATGATAAATTTAGCTTATATCTGAAAATAAGTCAACAAAAATAGATTTTATCTGAAGTCATAGTTTATTTTGTGCAAATATTCTAATCAGCAATGTAAATTTAAAAAACTGAGTAGTCAACAGGTTCTCAAACATTTTAACGTTCTACAGTTATGTTTTTTCAATGCTTATTATGGTACAATGTAGTTACATAAAAGTATGTTTCTTGCAAACTTTTAATTTAGAAAAATTTATAATCTTAAATTTCAAAACAAAAATATTTGAGGTATAATGTAAAAATTGCTTTAGTTTATTGCTATATTTGAAGAAAATTCAACATCTGACTGATTTTTATTTCTCAACAATTTTGTCAGATTTTAATCGCACCAAGTCAAAAATGTAACACAACTATTTTGTTAGATTTTAATCGCACCAAGTCAAAAATGTAACACAAATGTTTTGTTATTTTTTTAAATTACATACTTTCAAGAAAGTCTCCCTTCATATCTTTCATGTGAGGTTATTACGACTAACAAAATAAAAAATTTTTTTTAAAAGACATGAAAAGACATCCAGACATGAAAATTATGGTAAATATTTCAAATTCTAAATGTGTACAAATAATAAAATTAATGATCTTGGATTTTGAATCACTTTAAATCTGACTTCTCAAGTTGATGCTAAAACAAAATTTTAAGATAGTAATGATAATAATAATAATAATGAAAAAAGAACTTTAATTTATGGTCTTTATACTTTTTAACAAAATTTTAAATAACAAATTTTTTTCAATATATTCAAATTAAAACTTTTGTGAATATTGTTTCTTGCCAAATTATTTTTAACTTGCCATTTGATGTACACTGAGTGGTCACAAGTAAATAGACACCTAATTTTTGTCATTTAACTGACTTATGCTAACTAATTTGTGTTCACAGAGCACTATATAAATGAAAATGGTCCGCTTA